GTGCAAGCTTTCAACAATAATAAGGATCCTATTATTTAGGGTACTATATTAGGGTCCCCTGTTTTCGGAAACCCCCATCTCTGGAACAACGGCTTGTCTCAGGCACATGTCGTGTCCGCCCGCCAAGAGGACGCTCACAAGCCGGAGCCACCGAAACCGAGGCGGACAGCTCAGGACGTGGAGGCCCAAGCTTGGTCGGAAGGAACTTGCACCCAAGGCCTGGCGGAAAAGCCAAGAAGCTCCGCCCTCGCATGATGCCGAGCACTTAGCAGCTTGAGAAGCCGAGACTTCGACATGGCCCCTCCATGACTCAGGTGCGCCGTGCACGACGACGACAGCAGCCTGCTGCAAGCTAGGGCCAGCTAAGAACTCCACTTGGACCAAGACCTTCCTTGCATTCTGCGGCAAAGTGTCCAAAGGCAGCACTCTCCGCGCTTAGACTCGAGAGTCTGCTGGAGTCGGGCAGTGTAGATTTGAGGCAGCAGTGGTGGCTCTCAGGACATCGAAGGACTGGAACTGTGGCTGCAAACGTGCAAGCACTAGCTGCGCAGTCATTCCGTAAAACAGGGCGTCACCTCCCACGGCCGCTAGACGGTGACGATCATTTCGATGAGCCGATAGAGAAGGCCGGTTATGCTTGGGGGTGTTCTCTAGCATCGTGTACCATGACTTGCGGTCAATTGTTTTTTGGTTCAACTCCGGTGTCCGGATAGTCTCCTGGTCGTTTCTTTTGGTCTCTTGGTGGTCTCTTGGCCTTTTGGTGTCATGGTGGTTTCTTGTGTTCTCCGACTGGTTTTCTTGGCGGCCTCCTGTGGGTCTTCTGATCCTTGCTAGCAGTCCTGGCGTCTCCTGGTGGTCGAGAACAAGTGTAGTACTCGGAATGGCTTGCTGGTACCCGGTAGCAGATCCGCACCAACGGCATGGTCTATCTGCGCTTTTGTGAATCCGGAGCCAACAATGTAAATCTAATCCAGACTGCATGTTTCCCAGGACAAATTCCGAAGGTTGCTGGAGCTCTCAGCCCTCCATGCGCGTGTTTTCGAACAGAAAGGTAGTGCGCGGAATGCAAACTTCCCTTTGGCTCCTGGAGGTCTGGCTGGGGCTTCCGACCTCGTGTTCTCGAGACAAGTGTAGTATGCAGAGTGCCTCCCCGAACAGCTTCGCTTCGGCTCCGATACAGTTCTTACATTTTCGTGAATGCTCCATTACAGCTCCGTTACATGTCTCGTGCGGGCCTGTCTATGTGCTACAGTCCAGCACGTCATGTTCAAGGTGAGAGGCAACATGGTGGTAGAGAACGCCTCCGAAGTGTTCTCAGCGTCAGGCACCCCACTACGAGCGGAGTGACCGGCTTGACTCAGCAGCAGGATACCTTTACGAGGACGGGCTAAAGAAGTGACTTTCGCAGGTACTTCAGCAGCTTTCACCACAGGACACAGTGGAGCACATCTGGGACAAGCAAGATGCATCTGGTTTGGTGTGGCCCTTTGTCTGCATTTCCTGGTTTTTCCAGGGCACAACGTCCAAAGCAGCAAACCTCAAGCCAATGCAGAACATGCGCTTGGTCATCAGGTACACAGATGCGGCCTACTGGGATAGGTTGGCCGGGGATCTGGATGAGCGATGTGCGGATGGCTGGGATGTCGAGAGTGATCCGCGCATCTTGGAGTCGTTTTGGGACAGTATGTGACAACTCTGTAAGAGTATCTGCATGGTAGCATAATGTGCCAAAGCCATCTGTAGCCTATCCGTGCGGCAGCACCACGAATAACTCCGGCTACCTCCTTGTCGTTGCATTCAGCTTGATCAAAGGTGAAGTTTCGAGCGACGACGAGGAGGCGACCATAGCGCCCGCTGTAGAGCAGGGTGCCGGGTTGGAGGCAGTGCAGCGTGGCGTCGCAGGACTGGGTCGCAGGTGCACAGGCAAAGAGCACCGGAGGGCTGCAGTTCTGCTGCAGGAAAGATCATGCGGTCTTGGGGTGCCGACCCGTCAGTCAAAAGGCCCAGCAGCACGCGGCTTGGCACAAAAATGCTAGCTGTGCCAGTCACCGTTAATTGCTGGAGGCAAGGACTGCCATGAACGTGTGCAGGTTACTGGCTGTCGTCGAAGGTCTTCAGCCAAACATGTCGCGTACTGGCTTAGGCGAGCTTTGCATCAGATGCGAAATGACCGTCTGGCACCTCCATAGAGTTATAGAGGCTGGGCAGGCGAGAAGTCGCGCAGAAGACCTTCTCCTGGTCGCAGCCTCGGCCGTCCTAAACTGAAGACTATAGGTAAATGCATGCAGTCACATGTAAAGACTGCCTGAGGCCCTTGTGAAGACTGGCTGCGCATAGGCTCCATCTACGACCAGAAAGGTCGCCAAGATCATGACGGTCTCAAGTTCCGGAAAGACTCTGGCAGCCTGTCTGAAGAGGTTCGACCTAATATGTTGGATGATAAATCAGATGCTTGACAAACGGTGTGGCCACCATTCTCGGATGCCTCCATGCTTGCATGAAGCAAAGCTCAGGTGGAAAGCCGCTGCCCGGGTTTTTCGCGGCATCTCGACTTTTTGCATTAGATGCATTTTTGGGCACGCCTTGGCACGCCATGGCCGGGCTCAGGCAGCGACAGCTCTTGGAGAAGACCGCCGACGGCGCCTGACCTTCGTACCCGCACAGCATGCTGAAAAGAGTTTCTGCCATTTTCCGTCCGGTCCAGCTGTTGGGTACCACTCCCAGAGCCATTGCTTGATCCTGCTCGAGTCAGGGTCAAGGCAATTCATGTCAGCAGGTCTCAGTCAGAGGGAGTAGGGATCTGTCTTGCATCTTTATCGCTTTGCGTTAAGACGACATGCCGAACACCGGCGACGCGATTCCGGATTTCAGTCTTCGCGACCACCTTGGAAACGAGGCCAGACATGTTGCTGACAGTTTACACCACATTAACATGCCGCTACCATTGCAGGTGTCGCTTAAGACCCTCAAGGACTCAGGAAAGAAGACCTTGATTTGGTTCTACCCGAAGGCGAGCTCGGACAGCCCACATGATTTCGAACATCGCAGACAGTGTTCTCGAAGTTCATCTTGCAGGCAGACACCCCGGGCTGAACGGCTGAGGGGCAAGGCTTCCAATCCTTGCTTGATAAGTACGCTGAGAAGAACATCAACATTATGGGAGGCGTGGGCTGCTTCGGAGTGAGAAGCCGTCAAGCTCATGGCGCAACTCGCGATCCCTGCGCGATGTGGCCCCTAACATGCTACTTTCGGTATCGCGGCACTGCTGCCACCGCGCACAAGCGCAGGTATGTGCCATAAGCGGTTTCCGCCCGTGTCTAAATCTGTCAGGATCAGGACGTGTAATCGAAAGCGGACATGCCGGTTGGCATTTTGGCAGGCACAGTGTAGTCAAGCTCCAAGAAACGATCGCGAACGAATCAGACTGTCTATATTGCTTGTTATAAAATGCCTCTCAGTGACGAAGTCGCCTTTGATGCTTCCTTCACACCCGTGAACGACTCGCCAGTTGATCTCAGGCTTTGAACTCATCCCGCTTTTGACAGGGGCTAGGCATCCACGATGCCAGACTTCGCAAACAAGCATTGTGTCAGAGAACGCAGGTTCCGCCCATTCTGGGTCTGATGTAGCTCCTGCAAGATCCTCTTGTGAGGCAATTTGCATGTGGCGCTGGCTGTGAGTGTTCTTAACTGCTCCTGCAACCTGATGCATAAGTTTCCTCTGTTAGAGACTGCAAACCTGCAGCTCAGTCCAGGCATCAGTACTTTCGGTTGCACCCCTTGACACTGCTTCCTTTGCGTCTGCCCGGCGCGAGTGGTTGCATCGCAGGGCGCCTGGGTGGAAGCTTTCTTCTGGAAAAAAAACATACGACACGCTGGCACCGACTCTAAAGCACGACTGTGATCGCGTTGAATATGAGGACATGCCAGCATGTTGGCTTCGGAGTCGCCACGCCCATGCATGCCCATTCATCACTTTCACCCAGTTCTGCGGCTTCGTGCAGTGCCCACCACGCCGAAGCGACACACGTTGCCGGCTCCTGCACTATGGATTCTTGGTGCCGGCTGAGCGCAATCGCCCCGAAGAGCATACAAGCAGAATCACCCAAGCCCTCCTACAACTTCTGGACTTGCCATGTTGTGGACATGCCACGCTATTTCCGAATCTTTATTTGCCACTTCCGCCCTGCATTTCCACATCAGCATCGTTGTGCGCAGGCTCGGGCGATTCCCAAAGCGCGAACCAGGCTTTTGCAACAAAGTTTTCGTCTGCAGCCTCTGTTTATCTCTGTCCGGTAGCCGTCGAGATCAAGGGCATGCCGAGCTAAGGTTCACTTTCCCACTGCTCTGCGAGGCTTTGTCGCTGTCCTCGGCCCTAGGCGCAGCTTGGCAGAGATTCTCTTTCTCAAAGTTCGCCGAACCCATGCGTCTGCTAGTTGTGAGCTTGATAAGGGTCTGAGGTGTCCGCTTCTCGGTGGGCCATCCTTGTCGACGCAGATGGCAAGGTGGAGAAGCAGCTTGGACCCAGACGTATCGATTCCGTTGCGGCAATAATGTGGGCTACAGAGCATGGCGCTTGCCATTCCGAGGTTCTGGGGCTCGGTGGCGAGCCTTAGAACAGATTCTGCTTGCGAGCAGAAGGTTGGCTGACTTGAGTTCTCCTGCAAGCCAAGGTGGCTGCTCGTACCTTCCCGCAGACAGCGCTGGATGAGATCTAGTGAGTGCTTGATCTCCACATCTTGCCGTTTGTTGATTGGTTTGTTTTTTTTGGTCGCTGCTGGTTTTCATCTCACTTCCTTGGGACAGATGCTGTGTAGCAAGTTCGGCATCAGCTGCCAGGCTCGCGTTCAAAGAAGCTTGCCAAAGGCTTGCTGTCTAAATGACTGTATCGCCGCGGCTGTGGAGCTAACAACACCGAAGCGACTAGTCAGCATTTGTCTTACTTACTGCCAAGATAGGTGCAAGAAGTTCGCTATGATGCAATGGCTGCCGCTGTTTTCTGCTAGTTTCTGAGTTGCTTCAAGCCGCAGGGCGACACAGGAAAGAGACTGCACCTGACGCATCGCTCCTCTCTTGCAACGCGCAGTAGCAGCCGCTAGAGGCCGCTGTGGCCCGCCCTGCAGCAAATGCAAAAGCGATGCCGGTGCATGCGGAGAACTTGTACGTCTGTTTCGCACTTGTGTTTTCTTGGGTGCACCTATGGCGGATTGTCTGCCGGCCCAACTCGTGCAACTGCACAGCAGCACAGCAGTCCCGACCTGAAGATGCAGTAAAGAGTCAGTCAACAAGAGATGGGTTTGGGATGCTTTCGGCTCAGCTCTTCGTTTGTCAAAGGGATTCCTGAGTTTTGCCAGCCCCGTGCTTCGTGATAGCCGGCATGTGTTGTTTATATAATCCCAGAAACAGACATAAAAAGTGAGAGGATTCCACCACACTGTCAAGGCTTGCCTTTTTGTACAACTACCCAAGTTACTGTGCTCAGCATACGTGCTGAGAACTGTATATACACTCAATGTAACCTACCCCAGGTCCTAGCCAATAGTTTGGTATCCGGCGGCGAGAAAGCCAAAATGCCGCCTCCGCGGGCCGATGATAGCAGCCTGGAAGCGGTGAAGTTCTCCATCCTCACGAATGCGCTCCTTCTGCTGGTCTTCCTTGGTGCCTCCGGAGACTGGTTGTTTGTAAGGACAAAAGATTGCGTATCTGTTTCTGGCACATGGTTACGGCGAGCTCTCAGGTTCTAAGCATTCTAAGGCTTCGAAAGTGTGTAGCAAAGAGAGACTCAGAGACTCAGAAAGTGCTATGAGGGCAACAGATGAGCTCAGGCGCCTTGGAGCTCTTCCTGAGAAGGGAAGGCACACGTCAGCTCTTGGCACCAAAGCTGCCGCCGCGGGAGCGCATCGGGTTTCTTTGCTCCCGCTTCCCTAGCTTTCTGTCTGGCGGATTCACTGCCTGGGCACGGAAGGTTTGGCAGCAGCGGCATCAACCTTTGGATTTGGATCCAGATGCTACGATCCTTATTCGTTTCTGCCAGCTTGGTCTCAAATTCAGCTTGCTAGGCACGGCCTTGTCCTGCGTGCTGCTGCCGATGTACGCCACAGGTCCCGGTCAGGCCAGCGGCTTCAACGCCTTGAGCCTTTCGAACCTCAAGTTGGGTGGGTCCACACGTTTCTGGTGCGTGATTTTGGCCGCCTACATGCTGACCTTGACGTTCGGCTACCTGATTCTTCGTGAATGGCATGCATTTGTGAGTGTCCTGGCTGAAGCTCGTATCGAGGAGTAGTTTCAGGGTTTCAGGCTGCCTGTCCATGCGGTTTGGCTTTCACCTGAGGCATCAAGAGGCAGCACTTCGTGAAAGCAGTATCTGGAGCCTGCGGCCCTGCGATTGCCCAGAGCCGTCGTACCCTCATGGTAGAGGACGTGCCTTCAGCCTCATGGTCGGAGCAGGGAGTCACCGCCTTCTTTGAGAAACTCTATGGACCTGCTTGTGTCTATAGCTGTGTTTGCCTTGGCCATGACGAGCCGGACCTTCACCCCTCAGCCCGGGCAGCCGCGCATCTTATCCAAGTCAACACCGGGCCAGCCACGGCGTTTGTGACACTCCGGTCGGCAGAAAGATGTGCAGAAGCCCAACAGGTAGTGCTGAGCCACACTTCAGGTTGGCAGGTCCGCGAAGCTCCAGAGCCGCGAGATTTGATATGGTCTAATGTTCTGAAGCCACGTGGCATGACAGAACTTCATCAGAAGATCGGATTGGCAGCCACCGTGGTGTGCGTCCTTTTCTGGTCAGTACCGGTAACTTTGATTCAGGCCTGGGCTAACGTTGAGTCACTTTCCAAATGGTTCCCTGCCGTTTCTGAATTGAAAGCGTGGTCCCCTGCACTCTACGCCCTCATGACGAGCTACTTGCCAGTACTTGCGCTCATGGGGCTGCAAGCGCTGCTGCCTTACTTCTTTGCAGCAATGGCGCGGAGTTATGAAGGCCACAAGACGAAATCAGGCGTGGAACGGGTGGTGCTCCGCAGGATCCTGAGCAACCTTTTGCATTTTTAGTGTAGGAATAGGCCGGGATAGTTCAGCTCTATGGCCTCGTGACTGCTCTTTTCAGGTGCTGAATCGCTGTTTCAACTACCAGCTGGCCTCTCTCTACGTTACCGTGCTGTCAGGGTCCCTGTGGGACTCACTGACGAAGATCTTGGATCAACCTTCACAGGTACTGGATATCTTGGCACGCTCTCTTCCAAAAGCCAATGTTTATTTCCTGTCGTTCGTCTTGGCCAGAGCCTGTGTGGGTGTTCCTCTTCTGCTGCTGAGGCCGGATGTCTGCTTTGGGTTCTGTGGGCTCTCCGGATCAGGGACGAAGATCCACTGCGCCTTCGGATATGAGGCATCGAGCATTGCCATCGTCCTGGTGATTGGGATTACTTACTCTTTCATTGCCCCTGCCATCCTACCGGCTTGTGCCGTGTACTTTGCTGCGGCAACCCTCTCGTACAGGTGGTTGTTTACCCACGTCTACGATTCGGAATTCGACGGCAGTGGTGTATTCTGGTATGATCTCTTCAACTGTGTGATTCTGGGCTTGCTGTTAAGCACCTTATCGCTGATAGGGCTGGCCATATTGTACGGCTCCTACACTCAGTTAGTGTTCTTGATTCCCCTCCCAGTTCTCGTGGTGTACTTGGCACTGCGTTGCTGGGGCCGCATCGGCTGGAAATCCCGGTGGACAGCACTGGAAGACGCAGTCGGGGCCGATCAAGACGAGGGAAGCGCTCTCGCCGGCTTTCAGGAAGACCT